AGCCCTGACAACCGCTTCTCGTGAACGCATTATAGACACTCCGTAGCTATACGCGCAATCGTCTGCATCAATATCAGGAGGTGTGATAGCATTTTCCTCTCCTACCGCATCTTACTCACACAGCACTGATTTTGGAAAAGCTGACCCAATTCTTGGCAGAGCGGAATGAAATCGACAGCAAAAATCCGACGAAGGTATAAATGGCACAATTCTGAGGACGTTTGTGTAAGAAAGAAAGGAAAGAGATGGATGGACGAGACCAAAAGAGAAGAGATAAATTCAGCGCGACTGCAAGAAATAGTAATTTGTTTAGCCCAGCACTCTGTAGGAATACATTTCCGTCTTTGTGTGTCTGTCTCTCCCTGTTTTCTTGTTCTGACGTACATACACACTTACTATTTTCCTTTATGCAGACATACATACATAAATACATGCAGCACATACATGCATGCATACATATATACACACACTCATCCATTATATATATATATATATATATATATATATATATTATAGATATATATATATATATATATATATATATATATATATATATATATATATATATATATATACACACATGTGGTGTATGAGATATATATTACATAAATACACTACCATACACTTGCTTATACACTGGAAAAGTTAGGTGACTTTAATTTTCCTTTGGGCTTAGGTAGATCGCTGCTGGACTTATTTTTACATTTCCAGTGTCTGTCAGATTCCTGATGGAGATCGGAAAATTCGAAACAGCAATAAATTTGTCATCCTGCTCTAATGTTAAGAAATTAAAGTTACAAGAACATGGCATTTATCTAATTTTTTCTTATTCTTTTAACTAAGTGATAGAAAGAAAACAGTATATTAAATGATAGAATATAATAGTGAAAATATGACCGTAAAAGTAGAAACTAACGAATTAAATAATGTAATAGTTCCTAAAAATCAAAAAGCAACAATTAATGAATAAAGAAAGATTTCAAAGGTAAATGAGTGTTATTAAAACCTAGATATATATTAGATTATAAATAACAACAAGAGATATGCAATACTTAATTATCTACCTAAGATAAGTGTCAATGATAATACATTTAATGTTCATTTATTTTATTAGTTACGGATGGTGCTTACTTTATCTTTAACAAAGATTTTGCTGTGATTTTAAACGTTTCCGTTTATTAAGATGCGCCTCCTAATAATTGGGACCTGGGTTATTTGCCCTCATATTTGGTACCTCAAAACCGCACACATTATATAATATATATATTATATAATTATATATTATATATATATATTATATATTATCAATACCACATACTAATTGTAGATGGTGTATGGATGTAATATTAATATATTATATTATTATATTATATAATATATAATATACATAGTATATATTTATATATATATAGTTATATATATTATATATATATTAACCATATCCACCAACTAACATGATATATGGTATATGGTATGTATATTAGTATGTATATATTTTAAGTATATAAATATGTATATATATATATGTGTGTTATGTTATGTGTGTGTGCTGTGTGTGTGTGTGGTATGTGTAGTAGTTGATTTTTGATATGTTATATATATATATATATATATTTTACACGGCAACACCACGGTGCATTGTATGTTGGGTTGTTAGTTATTTATTGTGTAGGTTGTGTATTATAAATACCCTATCCTTACCTAAAGACGTGATTTAAAATACACACTGGTTTAAATAAACTATTTATAATATTTTCTATATCCGACCGTTTATCCTTTCATATATCTATAATGAAAATGATAAAAAGCTGATGAAGCATATACATTGCACAGAAGCTAATCGTTAAAAAGGCCGATAAAGATAGGCTCGGATTATTTATCAAGAAAAGAGTAAA